ATTGCTCCCAGGTGTGTCTCGTCATCCCCTCCTCCTGTGTGTATAAAAAGTGTTCCCAGTCCCAAGTTCTCTGTCCGCTGTTAAACGTCTTCCTGAGTTCGTCTCCCTTGGTTCCTGTAAATAAAGTCTTGGTAAAGTATTCTCCAGCGTCTCCTCGTTCCTCGTGTGTGTGCATCGTGACAGCGCTACAGCATTAAAGTTACATAAAATATAACGTGATGAGATTTTGCCCTCAGCCGAAACTATTTGCTCTGGAACAAATAATAGATTAATGAGACCAAAGATTGTCCGTTAGATTTACACAAAACAAATTATATCTCATGTTTAACCACTATACTGTAGAGACATCAGAACCAGTGGCAAATTCTAGAAGAGCTGGCCGAGGTACATATACTTGCATCAGTGGGCAGGAATGCTTTACATTATTTACATGTGAGGGCAACATAGAAACATTATGTAATGCAAAATATAGAACATAAAGCAAAGATAAGTTGATTATGGTTGCAGAGCAATGTCACAGCTTAGTACATTAATACAAATGACATGAGGTCGTATGTGTGTTTATCAGCTATCTGGCTCCTTCAGTCAGAATCCAGAGTGAATAACAGTTTTTTGAGTCTTATGTTTTGTATAATGTGAAGCTGTTTTTGCACTGATGCCAGGCGAATTAATTTTTTTATGAATAATGGTATATTTTGGTTTGCATCCATCGAGTTTTAAATAATAAAAAGATTAAAATGACAGAAAATGTTTTAGTCAAAATATGCATTACACATCGTGATTATAAATATACGTTTTATTACATTTTTTATTTTTATATTAAATTATATTTTTATCTTTCAATTCCAATAAAATAGTAATAACAATAGTACATATTTCTAATGATTACAAATAAAAATTTAGAATACACTAGTGGTCAAATGTTTGGAATAATTCAAAATAAAGAAGCAGGAAAAAACTGTTTTCAACATTGATAATAATAAAAGATGTTTCTTTAGCAACAAATCAGCATATTAGAATTAATTCTGAAGGATCATGTGACATTGAAGACAGGAGTAATGATGCTGAAAATTCAGCTTTGCCATCACAGGAATAAATTACATTTGAAAATATATTCAAATAGAAAACGGTTATTTTAAATTGTAATAATATTTCACAATATGCTGTTTTTATTGTATTTTTATCAAAAATGCAGCCTTAGTGAGCATTGGGGACTTCATTAAACTTAATAACATTATTATTGATAATAATTAATGAATTAAAATGACATATGTAGATATATACACACTTACAAATAGCAGCATACATAATCACACACTAGTTAAAAAAAAGGCTTCTGGGTAGATTATCTCACTATAGGTACCAAAAGCCCTGGAGCCATATAGAGACTACTTCAAATAGTAAGAATAGCTTTAAAATGTCATAAACACATTACTGATGAGAACTCTGTCCTTATGCAAGCACAAATTTTACCTTGTCAGATACACTTGAGAAAAAAAAAAAATGACTCTTGGAAGACTTCATTGTGAAAATGTCTCTGGGAAAGAGAAGAATGGATGCACTCACTTGTGGCCTAAGTGTTTGAGGAAATATGCCAGAACTTTAAGAGCCTGAACCCGGATACTTTCACTCTTGGAAGCCAGTAGTTTGTACACCACCCTGAAAAGAAATGAAATTAAATTAAAACTAAAAAGAGAAATATTCTGAATTAATTCACTACATTTCATGTCAAAAACGAAGAACCAGTGGGAAAGTGCCAAACAATTTCTTTTTCAATTCATCATGTGGCTGCTGCTAAAAAATTAGAAACTGGCAGACAATAATAGAGAGGAAATGGCATTGTGTAAAGCACCATGAAGCTGTTCATCAAAGTCATATCAGTTATTTTTAGCCAAACCCAAAACTTCAAAAAGCAAATAACTCTATCAAATCATCTATATTTCATTAGCCTGACATGCAGGGTGTGAGCTTTATCCTGCTTGTCAGAAAAAAATAAATAAATATGAAAATATCATTGCAATTCCTATGTCGAGTCTCGTGAATAATTCATGATTGTATCATGTAGGCAAACTCCATCATCAGAGACTAGATGAAATATAATGAAATTTGACTGTGTGTGTGTGGAGTGAACTCAGATCTTACCGGATGCCGTTCCTCTTGTCAAAGGCAGGAATCATGGAGGCAGAGTGCTCAGACATGAGGGCCACCAGCAGCTGAAGGACATCGTGGAGGTTCTCATCCTGAACAGAGTAAAATATATAAGCATCCAAGTGGATGCTGCACACTGGTGGTGGTTGAGGAGAGACCCCCCCACATGATTGTAAAGCGCTTTGGGTGTACAACAATACACAGTAAAGCGCTATATAAATGCATCATTCATTCATTCATTCATTCATTCATATAAGCATTTAATCCAACCGTGTTAAGTTCATTCAGCTCCAAAACTAAAGCAAAAGTTTGTACAGGCCTAACTATTCTTTAATGGGACTGTTTTCTACATTTTAGAATAATAGCAAAGCATGAAAACTACTAAATAATGGGCATATGAAAAAAACGTAGTGACTGAAAAATGTTAACTTACTTAACAGTAATATTGAAAAATATTATTACAATTTAACCTCTTAAGTGCCACCGGTGGGCCCGTTGGCGCTCTTTTTTTTCGTTGTCTTTTTTCTCTGTCACATATCTTAGTAATAATCATAAATTACATATCATTTGAAAGCTTAAAACCTCAAAATTCATCCTGTGAAAACCATTTTGAAATCGGACATTGCGTTACCATGTAAATGGTACTTTAAACCCTTTTGCCGGTCTCCTCCCCCTTAGTGGGTGGAGTCAGGTGTCATATTACAAAATGTATTATGCTCTTTTAGAATCAAAACTTTTTATAATCTTGACAAAATACATCTGAGTCTCAAGATTCCATATTTGGTGGTTATTTTGTGATAGAAGTAATATTGACAGAGATATTTAGACATTTGTGACAGAAAAATGCATTAAAAAAATTCAATGGAGTTTTGATGGCACCCGGTGGCTGTTTGTGGTATAACACCCTAAATAAGATCTCTCAGGAACCTCAATTTTTTTTTTATATCAACTTCAAATTTGGAACATAACTTACTTAGACATAAGGCTTTCATTTTGTAGCAATTTTGGATTCAAAAATATTTTGAAAAATATTTATTTTATATATAATAAAATAAAAATGGTACAGTGCATTTTCTTTACAGTAAATTTAAACTTCTTTAACTTTTTGATACTTTTAATATTTTGAAATGATTACACTTCTGCAATAATCTGCAGATTGTCTTCTTAAAAAAGAGTCCAACCTTAGGTCTGTATTCCAAAGCTTCATGAATTATAACAATTTAAGTTTGAATAGTGCACTTTCACATCTATATTCAAAAATGGGGGTGGCACTTAAATGGCTAAAATAACCACTTTCTGTTTTAATGTTTTTAATTTTTTTTTTGTCATGTGATGTTTCCAGCAGCCATTATTCCAGTCTTCAGTGTCACATGATCTTTCAGAAATCATTCTAATATGCTGATTTGCTCAATAAATATTTCTAATTACTATCAATGTTGAAAACAGTTGTGTTGCTTCATATTTTTTTGATTTTTTAGGATTCTTTGATGAATTGAAACTCCAAAAGAACATAATTTATGTGTTTCTGTTTTTTGGGTGATTTTTCTTTACTACCTGGACCAAATTAATCATTTAAATAATATCGAATAGAATGTTTTAAAGGGGCATAAAACTGGGCCCATTTAGAAACCTAAAGGAAAAGTAAAAATCTTGTAAAAACAGATATATGTCAGATTCAAAGGGTCTGCTGAGGGAAAACTGTAATATGGTGAAGACGCACCTCATGCATGGTCAGCAGGTAGTTGAGAATACTTTGAAGCTCATCTTCTTTAACACCTCGGTCCTGATGAATAAAACAAAAAAAGAAAATGCTGAACAATGCTACTTTTGCAATATGCTGTTGCAAAACACCCAGCTGCACTTATAAGCTGCTACTGCCATCGGCATGCTGGCAGACTATGAAATAGAAATAGAAATAAGAAGAAAACACACAAAATAACAATGATTTCAAATTCATTGAGGCTGTTTGTGTTTGCTGAAATTACTGTTCACAGCAAATTTGGGTCCTGACTTTTACAAGCTGTCTCTTATTATTAGGAAAGCAGAGTGAACTGTCTGGTTGTAGCGGTGCTGACGAATGCACACGTTTCCCATTACTGCAAGAGCACAGGCAGCTTGAGAGCTAATTGTTGTTTGCTCGTGCCTTGGCTACCTGACAGATTTCTTGATTTGTTAGCACTGATCTGAACAAGTGTACACTTTTTCCTACGGTCCTATTAGAAAATTGTAAACAGCTGGGGCTGGTGAATGAGATTGAAAACCTGCCAAAGCAACAGCCCTAGAGCTGTTGTTCTCTATACTTTGATAATTTAATACATGTGTATTTGTGACAGGCACACAATTAAAATTAAATTCACTATATCATTCTGAAAGGTTAAAAGTTATATGAATGTATAAGTTTAAGGAAAAGTTTATATCTCAGGTCCTGTAACATAGCCCGCATTTCTTTTAATTTTTTTATCATTTTTAATAAAAATTTTTGCCTTCACTCGTTCATATAACAATGCCTTATAGTGTGACCAAAAATAAATAAATAAATAATAAAAAAAATTTAATTATGTACTGAATATATATAAATTTCTTCCTAAATCGATTTCAACTACTTTACAACAACAAATGTAAACAAGAATTAATAATTATTAATCGTAATTAAAACAATTAGAAAACAATTATTAAAAAAACATTTTATTTTATTTTATTAAAAAAAAAGTTTTATATTGAGCAAGATATGTCAGCTTCCCATTTTTTTTACATTTTACTTTTAATAATTATTTTATAAAATTATAATAAAACAATTAGAAAATAATTATTAAAAAATAAAACTTGCATTTTTTATATATATAAAAAAAAGTTTTATATTGAGCAGGACATTTCAACATCCAAAATATATTTCAATACATTATATTGATGAGCATGGATACATACATTAGGATATCATCTCTCATTAACATTTCTCATGATTTTTCTGTAAAATTCAATGTATTTCTGCAGATATGTTTCTGATATGGCTGATATTATAAGTATTTGCTATGGTCTTGCTATAGTTAATATGGGTGGTAAGATTGAGGACAGATGTCAAGTCATTATATTTGTATTTTTACCTGTATGCATATGCTAAATATTATCCAGTTACACAATATGTGAACACATTAAATGCTGCTCACCTTCAGTATGAGCTGTTTGAGGAAGAGCAGCATGAAGGCTCTGAGGGAGGCGATCTCTTTCTGCGAGGGCCGAGGACCGTCTAGCAACACAAAGTCACAGTAGAACTGTTACAACAAACTGCACTACATCTCAAAAATGTCATGTTTAATGTTTCACAGATATTGGCATTAAATTCATAGCAACAGTGTCAAAGAGTGTCTTGCTCTCAGTCAGTGGAGAGCCACTTCTGGCAGTCGAGAAGAGCTTAACAGAGGTCAGAGTTCTCAGAAGAAAAGCCTTATTAACTCCAGACGGGAAGACAGCGAGTGTTCAACAGGCCACAGTTAATTTCAGCAACATCTGCGATGGTCTCTCATCCTCCTAGAGCTCCTTTTGAGCACATTGTGCATGTGTGACAGCTTTTCATTTGCTGTTTTACTGCGAATGGTCTAAGCATTGATATAAAATGAAACACAAATTGATTAGCTGTCATATGCACAGATTCATCTCAGGAGGTCTGCTCATCACCAATCATTCGTTACTACACTGTCTGAAGTGATCAACTCCGCTTCATTTAACATGTCTCTTTCCCTATTCATTGATAGCAGCGACCAGCAATTTTTAGAAAAGTGACATGTCTCTAAAGGTTTCATTCATCAAGAATTGTGAAGCATAATTTTAAGCAACTGGAGCTGTTTTTCCCTTTACCTCAAAATAAAGATCAACATATCCAGATTTTATTTCACTATATATTTCTGAATACATTAAGGCAGTCCAGTCACTCATTATAAAAATTCAGCTAAATATTTATTGAATATTAAATAATCCAAACATTCATTAAATATATTAAATGTAAGTTTTTTTGTTTTCATCCTAGTTTTTGTCTTTTGACAAAAGTATGCTTTACATTTAGCTAATATTATCATAATGATTTTAGTGTTTTACTCTTTTTAAACTATTTTAGTTGGCAACTATGTGCAAAATGACTAAATAAAAAAATTACAGCACAGCAAATGTTCAACCAAACAAATTTTCAATTTGAATACTGTAAAAACATGTTAACTTAAACATGTATTAAGTTTGGCAAAATACATGTCCTGAAAACATCCTAAAAGCCCTTAAAACAATAGATGAATATAAGTATTGTCACAATTTTTTTTTTTTTTCAAATTTTAGAGACTGTTTACAATATTGCAGCATGTTTCCAATGAGACTGACACATCTAGAATGTAATTCTGTGTATAAGCTTCATTGTCTGTGCAATCGTAATACTGTTTGTGTTGTAGATGCAGCTGATTAATATCATTTGCATAAAATGCATTTGCGTGAACTAATTAACTCACTAGTAAAGCGATTTTAATCAGTTTACCAGGGCTCAGCTCTTCCAGCTCAAACAGGTTTTAATTAGTCAAAATACATCTTTCTGCACTGCCTTCAATGTCGATCACGAAAGAACAGCAGTAAACATCTTCATCAATCATTTCATTGACAAGATTAGTATTGCTTTTATTTAACAGATTGTCTAGTTTAGTTTAAGAGTCTGCAATTGATCATCCATTGTCTTCATCCTTCATTCAATGTGATCATTTTTAAAGCAAGCACTTTTTAAAGTAAGATCATGGGATGTTACCTTCCCAGTCAATACGTTGAGTGATTATATAAAGCACGCATTTTTCTCGAAATACTTAATCATTATAGATTCCTTAGCCCACATTAATCTGAACTGCCATTATAGTACTAAAACTAATATTAAAACTATTTCAATAGTAAACAGCAAAATCTGCAATCTAAGAGACTTTGGAGCAACTGGCCGTAGATTGGTGCCAAGTTTATCTCCAAATTGAGCAAAACAAGGGGAAAAATGTATTTTTAATTAATTTGTCTGTCTACTGGATCTCATTAGAAGATCAAAGTCATGATTAAAGCAAAACTAAACAGATCAATAGAATGACTGATATCTCTTTTACTTAATAACACTTCTTCCTGTACCATTTAATTGATTGTGAATATGAACACTCACTGCAAACGCTGTCTCTTATTTGCAAAGAATAATGAATCTGGCATGGGGTCAAACAGATAATCAATGAATATGTACTCTCACACTCCCCTACACAGTGCACTATCCTTAAGATCGGCCCAAACAGCAGTATATGTGTAAGCGTCATATCAAAATGGATCTGCAGGACATATACAGAAATGCTATTAAAAACGATCCCTTCAGAGGGTGTAAATATTAAAGGGGTCATATGATGCGATTTCATTTTTTCCTTTCTCTTTGGAGTGTTACAAGCTCTTGGTGCATAAAGAAAATCTGTAAATTTGCAAAGACTAAAGTCTCAAATCCAAAGAGATATTCTTTATAAAAGTTAAGAGTTAACCACGTTCTTTTTAGCAGCATCATATGACCCCTTTAATGCAGGCCACAGTAAATATGCTGTAATTGGGTTTGGAGTCATACTACAGCTTATCTTCTGAAGCCAGGAAAATGGGAAAACGAAGCCAAAAGGAGGAAACTGATTGAGCCCCTGGAGTTTTACACAAAGCTTTAACACAGCAGAACTGGACTTGGGTTTTGACTGACTAAGCATTAACAAAGGTGATTAACTGTGTGCGCTTGAGCATTCAAACACAGACTTTACATAAGTACATGAACACCCAAACATGTCTGAATGCATTCATAATGCAACATAAATGTGTTTCACACTTCCACAGTGGATCCTCTGCAGTGAATGGGTGCCGTCAGAATGAGAGTCCAGACAGCTGATAAAAACATCACAATAATTCACACGACTCCAGTCCATCAATTAACGTTGTGTGAAGTGAAAAGCTGTGTCGTTGTAGAAAAAATATCCATCGTTTTTAACTTTAATCATTCGCTTCTTACCAAAATACCATAATCCGTAATGACACTTTCTTCAATTAAAAAGTCCATCTCTCCTGATTCAGACAAGATAACTTTTTCACTAAAGAAAACAAAATTATGAATAGAGGACTCTTATTTTTAGTTGGACAAACGAGTTTGAAGTTAAAAGCATGATGCATTTGTTTCTTACAAACACAACTTTTCATTTCATAAGACGTTAACTGATTGACTGGAGTGGTGTGGATTACTTGTGGATTATTGTAATGCTTTTATGGACTCTCATTCTGACGGCACCCATTCACTGCAGAGGATCCATTGGTGAGCAAGTGATGTAATGCTATTAATTCTATAAATTTTCATTATTGGATGAACTATTCCTTTAACATAAACTGTCTCCTTCTACAGTCCATTTTCTCTTTAGAACCAATTGTAGTTACAATCTCGCAGAGCTAATTTAAATTAGTCAATCTATCAACATGTTTACTCAACTAGCTACCCAAACAACAACACGGCAGATTTAATGGTACAGATATCTACAGACAGCTCTATCAGTGTCTTGAGTACTGAGGTTTGTTATATGCAAGAACTAAAGTTAAGTATGCACAAAAGGACTGTTCGCTTGTGTGCCTGATGATTCTTGAGGGAGTCTTTCTTCAAGACACTGTTGAGGAAAGACTGTCTGTGCTGTTGAAAACAATAGGCAGGAGTGATGCATGACTTTAATTTGTGAGGTCTTGCTTTTAGAGAGAGAGAGTGTGTGAGAGAGAAAGGTTTGTGGTTAGCAGATGTGACTCCAATGTAAAACAGAACTCTTTGTTGCAGTAATTGAACACTTCATTATGTTATACTGCTTTCTCTATAATCCATTTCTTTGTAGGAAAAGACAAAAAAAGACAAAAAAAAAAAAGACTGCGGCGTTTGACAAATGAAGAATAAATCAGTGTGGACCGCCACAGAGAATTACCTACTTGGCAAGCCAGAGACAAATTATTTTACATACTTTAGGAGAGCTGCTCTAAGACCTCTTCACCTGGAGTGACAGTGAAACATGTTGGAGTGTTTCTTTGTGTGTCACAGGGGTTTGGAGGTTCATGATGGTGTATTAATCTCAGTGCCAGCTGTTCTTCGAGATAAGATAAGTCCTTCATCTTCTGCACTTGTGCGTATGTTTGTGTACACTGTTACATTCTTTAGATATCTATTTTGTTTTTATCATATTTTTGAAATGCATGTGTTGTTTAATGTCAGCCTGAAGAATAAGAAATTCATTATCTGAGTGAAAGTGCTAGCAAATCTGTACTACTTTCTTCAATAATATCATAATTACTGATATTGGTTTTATTTCCACCAAAGAAGATCTGCTTTATGAATGTTTTAAATGAATAACTAATATGTCTAATATACAGTATATATATATATATACAGTATATATATGTATTTGTTAAATGTGAGCCAAAATCATCACAATTAAAAGAACCAAAGACTTAAACTACTTCAGTCTGTGTGCATTGAATTTATTTAATACACGAGTTTCACAATTTGAGTTGAATTACTGAAATAAATGAACTTTTCCACGACATTCTAATTTATTGAGATGCACCTGTATATACACACACACACATATATACATATACATATATATATATATATATATATATATATCAGAAGTGACCAAGTTGATTGTAGAGTCTTGAAAAATAAATAAATAAATAAATAATAAATAAAAATGAAATGAAATTAGTACAACAAAACTTATAATAATTATGTGTCTTTAGCAGCATATTAGAATGATTTCTGAAGGATCATGTGACACTTATGACTGGAGTAAAGGCTGCTGAAAATTCAATTACATTTTAAAATATATTCAAATAGAAAACATTTACATTAGTGTCCTTCCTGTAGTTTTGATTAAATAAATGCATCCTTGCAGAGCAAAAGAGACTTCTTTCAAAAACATTTAAAAAATCTTACTGACCCCCAAAATATACTGCCATAGATGTTGACATAGGTTCATTTGTATTAACTTGTATTAAAAAGGTTTCTGGCACATAAACTCGTGTTATTTACAACATCTTAACCTCCACATGAAACTCTCCATCTGAAAGAATATTTCACTACTTGGCTTCTACATCCATAGACAGCATGAGACAATTTTAATTGCTTTTAAGTGTCTTTCCAGTGCCTGGCATCCTCAAAAACAGCATTGCCACTGACCATTAGGAATAAAAAAGTAAGAT